GGACAGGAAGAAGTAAAAAGTATCTCTACTTGTGGATGACATGATCTTGTATAGAGAAAATCATAAGGACTCCACACACACACACACACACACACACACACACCTCTATTAGAACAAGTTCAATACGGTTGCAGGATACAAGATCAATATTTAAAAATCAGTTGTATTGCCCAGCTAGTGGTGCTCAGTGGATTGCGCATCATTCCCTGCACCAACAGGTCACTGGTTTGATTCCCAGTCAGGACATATGCCTGGGTTGCAGGCTCGATCCCCAGTAGGGGGCGTGCAGGAGGCAGCCGATTGATGTTTCTCTCTCATCATCGATGTTTCTATCTCTCCCTCTTCCTTTCTCTCTCTAAAATCAATAAAAACATATTTTTAAAAATCAGTTGTATTTCTATACACTAACAAGGAACAATTCAAAAATAAAATTAAGAAAACAGTTCTATTTTTAAAATAGCATAAAAATACTTAGAAATAAATTTAACAAAAGAAATGTGTGACTCATGCTCTAAAAGCCACAAAAATGCGTTAAAAGAAGATCTAATAAAGCAATGGTTCTCAACCTTCTGGCCCTTTAAATACAGTTCCCCATGTTGTGACCCAACCATAAAATTATTTTCGTTGTTACTTCATAACTGTAATGTTGCTACTGTTATGAATCATAATGTAAATATCTGATATGCAGGATGGTCTTAGGCGACCCCTGTGAAAGGGTCGTTTGACCGCCAAAGGGGTCGCGACCCACAGGTTGAGAACCGCTGTAAGGAAAAGACATTCCATGCTCAAGGATTGGAAGACAGAATATGGTTAAGATGGCAATACTCCCTAAGGTGATCTACAGATTCAACACAATCCTTATCAAAATCCCCGCTGACACATTTTTCAGAAATTGACAAGCTGATTCTAAAATTCACATGGAAACGCAAGGGACCCAGAATAACCAAACAATCTTGAAAACAAAGTTGGCCTGCAGTGGGCGCACGCACGGAGAAGCGGCTTCAAACCGGGATTTGGAAGCCACGGAAGGCTTCCCGGAGGAGGTGTCAAACTAAGCCAATAAGGTAAAGCTGGCGGGGATGGAGGCGGGGTGCGGGGCGCATCTCTGGCCGAAGTCAGAGCTGTGGGTAGGGAGAGAGGAGGGGCTCGGAGCCTTCCCTGTTTAGGAGAAGTGGGCCGGTTCTCAGGAGGCGAGCGCGAGGCCTAGGGAAACGGCTGGGACCGCCCAGGGCACGAGGGAGTCGCTCAAGGTTTTGTGGGAAAATTAGGTCCTAAAAAAGGCCTCGCTGGCGCCGCGTGGAGCACCGACGGCTGGGCCCGGCGGGAGGAAGGATCTGGAGCTTTGCGGAGGGACCAGCAAAGCGGCAGGAGGGACTCCGCCCTCCCGAGGGTGCGGACCGGACCTCGTTGCCGTGGAGACGCCTGTGGCGTCACACAGCCCGGGTCTGGCCCGCAAGACCTTCCTTCCTGACTCAGGAAGGTTCACTCGGGGCACAAAATGGACATGCGGTGCAGAAGGTAGGTGCGGTGACGGCCCGCCCTGTCCCCGCTGCTCTCAATAAGCATCGCCGGGGCCCCAACTTGAGTGACAGCGCCCAAGCCGACTCTGGTGGCCCCAACTTGAGTGACAGCACCCCTATTCGGAGTCACCCTCGCGCCCCAGGTCCTTGCCGTCCTGGGAGGTTGAAGGGCCGGGAAGCTGCGGCCCAGCTCAGGCTCGGTCAGGTGCGGGGCCAGGTGCTCGGGCCAAAAAAGTGCTGCCACCTGGGGCGCCTTTTTGCAGGGCTGCTGGCCCTGCGGGGGGCGCCGGTCGGGTTAGGAGAGGGGTGCCTCCTCCAGAAAGAAGGGGTCCTGAGGCCGCCCAGCCCCCACCCCGTGGGAGTGAGGACACCCTCTGGGGACATCTCTGCCCTTTGAGAGTGAGGACATCGCCACCACACCCCACTGCCCCCTCGTCCCCCGCGGGAGGGGAGTGCCTGACGGGAGCAGTGAGGAGTGAGGATGGTCCCCACCCTCTGTCCCTGGGGTCCCTGCTTCGGAGACCCTGGTACTAATGTTGTGGCCCCACCCCATAACAAAGAAACAGAATTTCCGGAGGATGAGGCCCAGAAATCAGGATTTTAAAAAGATTCCCAGGTGATTCTAATGTGCAGCCAAGGTTGAGAACCACTGCTCTAAAGCAAAGGGCTTTGAAACAAGAAACGAATTCCCTGCCGTGCTGTGTTCATGTGTTCTGTGGCCGCCTCCCGCCAAACGGGTTTCCTCTCTTTGGGGTGTAGACCTCTGTGAGCTGATGGATTCTGCGAGGAGCCCAGGCACTGTGGAGAGGTCAGCCCACAAATACCAGGTAAGACTAGCCGGCCGAAGCTCAACGGGTTTTTCCCTTTGAAGCGTGGCCCACATTGTTTGGAACACGACTTACAAATGTTGACCTTTTTTTTTCAGTGGCATAGGGACAGGAGATTGCAGAATTGGGGGGGAAATTCACTGTCAAGTCTTTTTAATTTGTTATATCTCAGAATAATTGTACAAAAATGTGTCTGGTCAAAATAATACCAAGTATGATTTGAAGATGTTCATCTTAAAAATTAACACTGGGGAAAACAGAAGGAAGAAAGAACCTGTGATTTGAGCACCAAAATCCAGGCCTTGCTGTCCCCCTGAAGAGCCAACCTTGCCAATGAGTATGTTCCCGTCCTCATGTGGAGCGTCCCTCTGCAGTTAGGCCAGGGTCATGTTCAGTCCCGACTTCCCCTTAGGGCAGTGGTTCTCAACCTTCTGGCCCCTTGAAATACAGTTCCTCATGTTGTACTCAACCATAAAATTATTTTCGTTGCTACTTCATAACTGTAATGTTGCTACTGTTATGAATCGTAATGTAAATATCTGATATGCAGGATGGTCTTAGGTGACCCCTGTGAAAGGGTTGTTCAACCGCCAAAGGGGTCGCGACCCACAGGTTGAGAACCGCTGCCTTAGGGGATCACACGTGAATATTTCCTGAGCGCGGCCCCTGGCCCCTTGGTTGTGGAGATGATGAAGGTGTTCACGTCAGGATGGGTTCTTGTTACAAGTGTGTGTGAAGGACATAGTGTGTGTGTGCGTGTCTTTGTGTGTCTGTGTATGTGGGATGTGTCTGTGTGTGTACGTATGTGTATGTGTATGTCTTTGTGTGTATGCCTCTCTGTGTGTATGTATGTGTGGTATGTGTCTGTATGTGTGTCTGTGTGTGCATGACTGTGTGGTGTGTGTATGTGTGTATGTGTATGGTGTGTGTATGTGTGTGTGTGGTGTGTCTCTGTGTGGTGTCTGTATGTGTGTATGTGTGTCTCTGTGTGTGGTGTGTGTATGGGTGTGTATGGTGTGTGTATGTATGTGTGGTGTGTGTGTGGTGTGTCTCTCTGTGTGGTGTGTGTATGTGTGTGTGGTGTGTGTATGTTGTCTGTGTCTCGTATGCCTCTCTGTGTGTATGCATGTGTGGCATGTGTCTGTATGTGTGTCTGTGTGCATGACTGTGTGTGTGGTGTGTGTATGTCTGTGTGGTATGTCTGTGTGTGGTGTGTGTATGTGTATGGTGTGTGTATGTATGTGTGGTGTGTGTATGTGTGTTTATGGTGTGTGTATGTATGTGTGGTGTGTGTGTGTGGTATGTCTCTCTGTGTGGTGTGTGTATGTGTGTGTGTGTGTGTGTGTGTGTCTGTGTCTCCTCGGGAACGCCGTCCTCACAAGCTCCCTGCTCTCCCGGTTCCTGGTCCAGGAAAGGGGTCGGCTATTGGAAGCAGGTCTGAGTTTCAGGGGGTAGAAGGTGCTGATGGAAAGTCCTGCGAAAGGACGGGTCTTGTCGGGACTGCCCACGTCTCCCTGGACAAAGCGCTTCCTCTTCGAGACCCCGTGGGGAAGAGGAGTTTGAGAGATCCCTCAGCACACATTTCCTGCAAGGAAAGCGTATTTCTGTGTGTGTGTATGTGTGTGCGGTGTGTGTGTGTGTGGTGTGTCTCTCTGTGGGGTGTGTGTGTGTGTGGTGTGTCTCTCTGTGGTGTGTGTGTGTGTGTGGTGTGTCTCTCTGTGGGGTGTGTGTGTGTGTGGTGTGTCTCTCTGTGGTGTGTGTGTGTGTGTGTGTGTGTGTGTCTGTGTCTGTGTCTGTGTCTCCTCACAAGCTCCCTGCTCTCCCGGTTCCTGGTCTAGGAAAGGGGTCGGCTATTGGAAGCAGGTCTGAGTTTCAGGGGGTAGAAGGTGCTGATGAAAAGTCCTGCGAAAGGACGGGTCTTGTCGGGACTGCCCACGTCTCCCTGCACAAAGCGCTTCCTCTCCGAGACCCCGTGGGGAAGAGGAGTTTGAGAGATCCCTCAGCACACATTTCCTGCAAGGAAAGCACATCTGTTCTGGCACTAGAACCGTTCGTTAATTGTTGAATGTTAAGAGAAAAAAAATGTATTTATTTCAGAGAGGAAGGGAGAGGGAGAGAAAGATAGAAACATCAATGATGAGAGAGAACCATTGATTGGCTGCCTCCTGCACGCCCCCTACTGGGGATGGAGTCTGCAACCCGGGCCTGTGTCCTGACTGGGAATGGAACCGAGACCTCCTGGTTCATGGGTCGACACTCAACCACCGAGCCACGCCGGCTGGGCTAAGAGAAATTTCTAAATGTGGTTTCCTTTAAAGTGAAAATGCAAAGTTGAGTTCAGCACGGAGGCCAGCCCAGAGGCAACCTGCTGTGAGCTCCGCGGCCCACAGGTCTCTTCCTGAGCGTGTGGGGCCGGGACAGTTTTCTCTCTGACAAAGAGGCGGGTGGGCATGTTTTCTTCTGTTGTCAGTTCTGAGAGGAGCTTCTAAGCCGCCTTTCTCCAAAGAGGTGGGGCCGGGACAGTTTTCTCTCTGACAGAGGCGGCTTGGTATGTTTTCTTCTGTTGTCGGTTCTGAGAGGAGCTTCTAAGCCGCCTTTCTCCAAAGACGCTTCGTGTCTGCTCTGATGCCTCCCTTCGTCCTCAGGCCAGCGGCGCTCCCCCGACTCCCCTGCTCTCGGCAGCGGGCTCTCTGGACTCCACCTGCACCTCCTGTTTGTAGCCCCTGCTCTTGGAGGCTCCCGCACTCCAGGTAGGAACCTAAGAGGCGGCTCTTTGGGGAGCTGGCTTGTTCCCCCAGGAACACCCTCCTGGGCCTGGCTCCAGGGGTGGAGGCTGGGGCAGGTCCCCGGGCGGAGCTGTGGGCTCTCAGGCCCAGGCCACTCCCTCCTGGGATGGAGGAGGCCGCCCTGGTCCCTGGGGATTTGGACTGTTTGGAGGCGTTCAGTCTGTTATTTTTAAAAAATTGTTTTTGCTGTTATCCAGTGTTTGTCTAATGCGTTAAACATTCTATTTACAAAGTGGAGTTTAAAAGGCGTCATTAGGAAAATTTACCAAATGTTCACCTTCATTTAAACATGTGTCGAGTTCACATCGACCCTTGCCATCTGGCACGCTGAACCGGCACAAGACGCCAGATGATGAGAGACAGTGCACGCTTCTGCCTCCCATTTCTGTTCTGCTTTTGGGCTGTTCATCCTCCTCTTCCAGAATCACAGCTGCCTGAAGCTGGGAGTCAGGATGGACAGGGCGGGGCCCGGATGGACAAGGGACACAACCAAGGACTGGCCGGAAGTTGGCTTGCTGCTCCCTAACTTTTCTATTTTAAAACTTCAGGTTACCAGGTTGTGACTTCTTAAAAAATGGTTTTTTAAAAATATACTTTTATTTATTTTATTTTTAAATATATTTTTATTGATTTCAGAGAGGAAGAGAGAGGGATAGAGAGATAGAAACATCAATGATGAGAGAGAATCATTGATTGGCTGCCTCCTGCACACACCCCCCCACTGGGGATTGAG